TGGTTAGGTCCCCAAGGCCTGATAAGCTTGGGCGAAGCTGGATTTATTTAGGCTCCTAAGAGATTTATTTATTTATTAATTGGCTTTACTAGGCCGCCCTTCCCTAAAATAGGGCTCGGGGCGGCTTATGACAGGATAACGCACATTCACAATATAAAGCCAGCTTAAACAGTCCGATGCATACTAGCAGACATGCTCAGAGATGGTCTGCCATTGCCTTCCACAACACAGAAACCCCATTCAAATACTCAGCATGGCCAACACCACTTAGCTTCTGCGCTCTGACACGCTCAGGCTAGTCTGGGCTTTTCAAGCTCCCGCAGTAGCTGAAAGGCAGGGTAAAAACTCCAGGAAAAAAACATACTCTCAAAGACTCATTCAGTTTCAGAGTTTAAGGCAGCGCTATTGGCAGAGATGCAAAAGGAAAACTCAGCAAAGCTCGGGAGGGGAGGTGGAGCCACCTGCAGCAATCGCAAGTAATGCTCTGACAAATTGCCATCGTTATCTGTTTCCAAAGAATTCACTGGCGGCTGAAGTCTCAGGAGACTTGGCAGAACTTAAGACCATCCAGGGTAAAATGCCCTTTGTAAGGCTGGGGTGGGAGTCCACACAGATATTATCAGGAGGGAGGAGGAGGAAGAAGAATAAGATGAAGAGGAGGAGGAGATTGGATCTATGCCCCGCCCTTCACCTGGAGTCTCAGAGTGGCTTACAAACTCCTTTCCCTTCCCCTCCCCACAACAGAAACCCTAACAGCAGAAGGACACTGCTCCATCGGCACCCGTGGTTATAGCCCAACAGTACACAAACCCAGTTCTCCCAGATTAGAGTCCGCGCTCTTAACCAGTACACCAAACTGTCTCTGAAGTAGACAGTACTGGACTAGATGGGTCAACAGGTTGACTAAGGTACGCATGAATCTCCCTTCCAGTAACTGGTGCACTCGGGCTTCGTTGGTTTCAAGGAGAAAGCAAAAGTCTGTGCTTGAGCATGGAAAGAATGCCATACTAAAACACAGCACAGACTGAATTGGGATTGCAGACTAAAGTAGGCCCACTTTAACGGGAAGGGGCTGTGGCTCAGTGGTAGAGCGTCTGCTTGGCATGCAGTAGGTCCCAGGTTCAGTCCCTTGGCATTTCCAGTTAAAAACAAACAGACAGTAGGTGATGTGAACGAACTCAGCCTGAGAACCTGGAGATCTACTTCTATTCTAAGTAGACAATACTGACTTTCATGGGCCAAGGGTCTGATTCAGTATAAGGCGGCTTCATGTGTTCATTTAACAAAGGCTGTATCAGTTGGGTATGTGGTTCGGTGGAAGAGCATCTGCTTTGAGTGGAGAAGGTCCCAGGGTCAGTCCCCAGCGTCTCCAGTTAAGAGGGTCAGATGATGTGAAAAGCTTCTACTTGAAACCCAGGAGAGCAGCTGTTAAAGAGTCCAAAACAGTGACATTGATAGGCCAAGGGTCTGATTTGGTAGCCCTCATTCACTTGTTACACATCCTGCACCTACATCTGTTTGTAAGAAACGGCCAACACATGCTCACTTTACTAGGGACCAATAGAACAAAGTTTGCGTCCAGTGGCACCATTGAGACCAACAAAGTCTAATTCTGCATATAAGCTGCCCCTACCTGAGGCCCTGGCCCTAATATTAACAATATTACTTCAACATTAACATCAATGTTATAGCAACTGAATAGCCTGTGCTCTGCCGATATGACCCAGACCACGTTGCCAGCTGACTGTTGGATGCCCGCCATTGGTATATTGCGCTAGCACTTTATGTATTGTTTTAGACCTATTTTATTGCAATTTTAATAATTTAACAGTTTTAGCTTGTTATAATATTATTGAACCCGCCCTGAGCCTGCTTCAGCGGGGAGGACGGGATATAAATCAAATAAACAAATAAGCTTTTTGGAACATAAGAACATAAGATAAGCCAAGGTTGGATCAGGCCAATGGCCCATCCAGTCAAACGCTCTGTCACACAGTGGCCAAAAATACCAGGTGCCATCAGGAGGTCCAGCAGTGGGGCCAAGACACTAGAAACCCTCCCACTGTTGCCCCACCCCACCGAGGCACCAAGAATACAGAGCATCCCTTGCCCCAGACTGAGAGTTCCTATCTATAGCTTGTGGCTAATAGCCACTGATGGACCTCTGTTTATCCATTTCCACAGTGACCAAAAATACCAGGTGCCATCAGGAGGTCCAGCAGTGGGGCCAAGACACTAGAAACCCTCCCACTGTTGCCCCACCCCACCGAGGCACCAAGAATACAGAGCATCCCTTGCCCCAGACTGAGAGTTCCTATCTATAGCTTGTGGCTAATAGCCACTGATGGACCTCTGTTTATCCATTTCCCTCTTGAAGCTGTCCATGCTTGTAGCCACCACCACCTCCTGTGGCAGTGAATTCCATGTGTTAATCACTCTTTGGGTGAAGAAGTACTTCCTTTTATCCATTCTAACCCGACCACTCAGTAATTTCATGGAGTGCCCACGAGATCTTATATTGTGAGGAAGGGAGAAAAGTACTTCTTTCTGAACCTGCTCTGTCCCACACATCATCTTATGAAGCTCATGCCCAGAATTAAAACTTT